GGCGGCCGCGCGGTGTGACGTCACCAGCGGCATGTGCTCGGGCACGCACTCCGGACACGTCAGCTCGATCACGCACTCCGCTGCACGTCCATCACAAAACTACAACTTAATCTCATCTCGATAGTAAACACACGAGGGCATTAAGCAATGTGAAATAGTCCACTTTGTATTGATGAAGTCTTTCTTAGTTAGAACAATTTCGATTTTTTTTTCTACAATATATTTGTATTTTAAATAAATAGCTTTTGACAACAAAGTGAAACTTACAGTCAGTGAGGAGTGCGGGGCCTGCGCAAGCCAGCAGCAGCAGCAGCGGCAGCGGCAGCGGCAGCAAGGGCGACATGTTTGGCGGCGCGCGGCTGGCGGCGGAGTGCCGCGGCCGCGAGATAGCGCGGCTCAGAGGCCAACACAAACAAACAATAACAGCAGTATCTTTATCACACAAACAAGGGAAACTGGGTTAGAGGTTAACATGTTAAACCAGAATAGGTAGCCCAGATATTTAAATAACAAAAAGATATTTGTGTGTTTTAACATATCGACCGATTTAACCAAACGTATTTTAATAATTGAGTCAAATGGAGGCAGACACAGCGGCTGGGGGAAGTGCAAGTTCCTTGTAGAGGAGCTGGCACACGCGAGGAGGAAACATAACAGGAAATGTGCAGAGGGAAAATAAAAATTCAAGGCTCACGATAAGTAGTTTATTATGAACATAATATACATCGACGATATTTATTTATATTTATAAAAGCAGGTAAAAACCGACGAAACACATACACCGTACAATAAAGTATTGATTTGCATACATCCACATACATTAGCTGAGTGGGCGGGGGCGGGGGCGGGGGCGGGACCACCCCGCCCTTCTCAACAACATTCGTTTTTACATTATTTTGTTACATCATAACGTATTGGAAAAATGAAAGCGGACATTGTTTACTGCCAACTGAATTGTAACAGGTCACATCATACAAATCTCAATAAGTAGTCTGTTCCCGCCATTACGATCAAAGCATTACAGCTTTCAATTATTACAAATAATTACATATTTCTTTATCAAAAAAGGTGGCGGTCTCGACCCCGAGCGGGGCGTGGCGGGTATTGTAAAAGGAAAATGTATCTGTACAAATCACTTAGATAACATACACATCCAAAGCTAAAGTTAGGATGCTATAAAAGTGTGCATGTCTAGAAGGGCGGCGAGGGCGAGGGCGAGGGCGAGGGCTCGCGGGGCGCACGCTGCTTTGTCGCATGCCCAATGTAATTATATCTTAAAACTACAAGTTCCAGTGCGGGACTAGACCGACGTCAATTTTTAGAATGACCATTATGTAATCGCCCAAACTTATACAAACTCCAGTACAATTATACGACTTGTAACTTATTACTAAAATAGATTGTTATAAAACTGTATCAATATACTTCTAACACCGGCTTAAGTACAAGTATATTGCAGGCGAAATATTTTCATAACATTTAAGCTAAGACACTGTAATACTATGTACTGTGAAATTGTATGTTAGAAGCCTCCTAAAGTTTTTAACAAATAGTATAAAAAGTGTTGGGTTATTTGTAGAAAAGGAGATTCTATAATTTTTGCTTTAATAGAGTTGAGGAGACAAGTGACACAAGATGGACCGCTGTCGGTTCGCATTACTCATGTATGTGAATTTCTTCGCAAATAGTGCAGCTTAAGACATGTTTTTCTTTATCGTTAGAATGTCTGTTAAATGTGCACATGAAATTCGAAAATATTATGTGTACATGCGGACATCGAACTAGACGTGCATATAGGCTTCCGGTTAAGCAAAGTATCGCATGTCAACCTAATCGTTTATAAATAACAGTATAACGAAAGAAACATAATTGCGCCTAACAGCAATGATTTAAAATAGACTGTAAGCGCTCGTTCGCACGGGTGGTTTTGTAACTCTGCGTTTAAAGTCAGCGTTGTCGGCTCTCCAGGGACGAACGCATTAAAACCGCTACATAAAGTGATGCATAGAAATGCATGTTAATCCGCGCTAGGACCGCGCCCGTGCGAATGTTAGCTGAGAGTAAGCGGAGTGCGGGGGCGGAGTCGGGAGCGGCTGGGGGCGGGGGCGGAGTTAGGAGCAGCAGGCGCGTGCGGGGGGCGCGCGCGAGGGGCGGCGCTCGACGGCGATGCGCGCCGCGTCGGCGTCGGCCTCCCGGCCCGCCGTCTTGTCCAGGATGGCCTCGGCCAGCTCGGAGAAGGCGCGCTCGATGTTGATGTTGGACTTGGCCGACGTCTCCATGAACCGGATGCCGTGCTCGCGCGCTATCTGCGCCGCGACAATACCACACATTAACATAATCAGCTTATGCAAAATCAAATAATTAATTAATGGTGTATGGTGTGGGTCAATGACATGGAGATATCAAATAGTGAGTGTGTCCGTGCTGGAATTTGAACATTTAAATTGTAACACCATTTTTAATTAATGTGACATTTCCTGAGCTAGTTGTAGTGTCTGAATACGAGAGTACATGTATATTTTGCAGTTTTTAATTAAATGATATCTGAAAAATTAAAAACTACATAAAGTCACAATTACTTTTAGGAGATGTAATGACTATAAAAGTGTACATATCATTGTGTGCATGAAGAGAAATGTGGTAAAATTGACTCACAGCCTCCCCACGCTCCTTGCTGACGACGCGCTTTTCCTCCATGTCGCATTTGTTGCCCAGGATCATCTTCTCCACATCTTCATTTGCATGCTGAAAATTATATTATGAACTGTTTGTGAGTTTTTAGCATGTAAGAGGTGGCTGCACATTGTGATGTTGCCTTCCTCATAGTAATGTTGAATAAATGTACATATGATAAAATTTGGAATCACAAACTGCAGACAAAAAAGTATGGTTCTTAACTACTGCACCAACACATCTGTACCTGAACACTTAACATGAAATATTCTTTTTGGCAATTAAAAATAAAATGGTTTTGTTAATCAATTATTTCTAAACTATTATACACAAAAATGTATAGCTAAAGTAGTTGTATTAAAAAATAAAATAGCATTTATAAATAGAATAGTTTCTCCAATTATGCAAATTAAATAAATTCAACAAAAAAGATAAAGTACATTTAGTGCTTGCAAACTTTGAGATACAGAAAATGGACATGCCCCACCCTATCCAATGTTTATAGTGGCTTACCTCATCTATGTTTCTTAACCACTTTACAATATCATCAAATGTTTTCTCATTAGATATATCATATACAAGCATTATCCCCATGGCTCCTCGGTAGTAGGAAGTTGTGATTGTATGGAAGCGCTCTTGTCCTGCAGTGTCCCAAATTTGTAACTTTATTTTTTTACCACGTAACTCCACTGTCTTTATTTTAAAATCAATACCTAGAAAAAGCAATCATATATATACTATTTACATTACTTGTTTAATCATTAATATGGTAACTTGGAAATGGGCTTCTGATATCTTCATTTACAAAAATATGTTAAACTGGTAAGCTTAAAATAAGTAACAATAGTATAGGCCATGACACAAAGTTTTACAAAGTATAAATAGTACTGCGTAAAAAGTAAACAATTATGTAAAACATAACGATACGTGCAGATAAATGTACCTTTGTTTGGACCTACAATGATTATGGAGCATTCTGAATTCTAAAGTACAAAGATGGATCGTAATTTCTTACCGATTGTGGATATGAAAGTAGTAGTAAAATGATTGTCTGAAAATCTAAACAATATACAAGTTTTTCCGACACCAGAGTCGCCGATTAGCAGGAGTTTAAACAGCAAATCGTATGTTTTCTTGGCCATTTTGGTTTTAAAATGCGATAAACCTTAAAATCTACTGTAATCAAAAATCTTCCTATCCTAAAAATTCTATTCTATTTGACAGTTGGATGACGTCCACAGAGTAGATACGAGCCTAGCATTTCATAGACTCTAGAGAAATGTGTGTGATACTGAATATTTTATCTGTAAATTGTATCTATGATTTACGCCATATTGTATTTGCGCGGTCCTTTGGTCTGTCATATTGTCCTGTTCTTGTTTGACGCAACTGCAATAAATCGATGTCATAAGTTAATGTACAGCTAAAGTGTTTAATAAATTATAATTTAGTGTTAGGTTCAAACCGATTACTGATTAGTTCTTAAAATAATTGAAGACAAAAGTACAAAAGATTCAATTGAAAACAAAAGTAGAAATGAAAATGTGAAATAAAACAGTTGGAAAACACAGAATTTTTTTCAAACATTGACAAAATGCATCGTCGAGGCGGAAAACGGATCCGTATGGATGATCCTCCCCCGGAGTATATCAATCCAATGACTCCGGCTACTCCTATGACTGACTATGGTGGCCAATCAGTTCATGAACCCGATACGCCACATGCGAATTACTCAGGGTTTAAAGTTGGAACCGCAGCCAATTCTACAGCGGTGGATGTGGCTAGAGAGGAAGTGGAGGAGCATCAGGAAGAAGAAGGCCGGTCTCCATCGCCAGCGCCCACTAAGCGCATCACCAGAAGCCGAGGTAGAGGTGGAGACGGCGGGTACGTGGGCCGACTGGCGGAGTCGCCACCGCCGCCGCCGCTGCGCAGACGCGGGCGTGGAGGACGCGGTCGCGGGCGCGGCCGGGGCGCGGCGCCTCCACCTGCTGCTTCTCCACCACCTATTCTTATGCCTGGTGATGATGAGAATAGCCTGTATAATATATTAAGATTTAATAAGGCTGCTATTAATGTAAGTTGGTTTATTTATTCCCGTACAGTCTTATTAGATTATGGTAAATTAAACAGATAATACCAAAATAGACAAAAATAGAGATCGGACATTGCAAACTAGCTTGAGCATAAGCAGGTTTGAGCACAAGCAAACCATAGATTCTATCCCAGTTTTTTGATTGGCATACTGGTGGGTATACCACTGTATTAGAATTTTTCATAACATAAGCTGAATTTAGAATAAGCTTCCTCTCTTGTTGAACAATCCACATTACATGCCACTATAATGTTTCTTTATGAAAGTAAACTCTAGGCGAGTTAACAGCACAAAATGTTAACAAACTAGAAATTATTTATGTTAAAATAAATAAAATGGCTTGGTTTTTTGCAGCAAGTGGTAGATATGTGGATAGAGGAATACAAGACAAATAGAGAAAGTGCTCTGGTGCAGCTGATGCAGTTCTTTATCAATTCCTCCGGCTGCCGAGGCAAAGTCACCCCAGACATGGCCTCAATGGATCACACACTTATTATTAAGAAAATGACACAAGAGTTTGATGAGGTATTAATTATCATATTTTCGGCTTACATTTTTTTTTAGGTCCACTGTTCAATACACAAAAATTCAATATACTTTTAGGAAAGTGGTGAATATCCTTTGATAATGAGTGGACAAACATGGAAGAAATTTCGTTCCAACTTCTGTGAGTTTATCCAGACATTAGTGAAGATGTGCCAGTATTCTATCATCTATGACCAGTACCTGATGGACAACATCATCTCCTTGCTGACGGGCCTGTCTGACTCCCAAGTGAGGGCATTTAGACATACTGCCACTCTGGCCGGTGAGTACAGCTTTAGTTAAATGCATTTTTAATATTTCTCTGCCCCTTAATCATTGACACAAACATAAGTACTTTAGCCAAACCAAGGTATTTAACCTGTTGCTATTGGTTCTACCACAAAATGCATAGTAGGAGAGTGCTAGTGAGCAGCCTTAATTTAGTTTATGTTTCCTGGTCAGATAACTAGTCTATGGCATTGTTTTGTACTTAACTGCACAAGTGGGGGTTGGGTTGTGGTGTAATGTGGTGCGGTGTGTCAGTGATGAAGCTGATGACGGCGCTGGTGGACGTGGCGCTGCTGACGAGCGTGAACTGCGACAACTGCCTGCGCCAGTACGAGGCGGAGCGGCTGAAGGCGCGGGATAAGCGCGCCTCGGAGCGCCTCGAAGTGCTAGTCGCCAAGCGCCAGGAGCTCGAGGAGAACATGGAGGAGATCAAAAACATGCTCTCATACATGTTCAAGTCTGTCTTCGTGCACAGATACAGGTAAATAATGTGCCTTTTATAAAAATCTCAATTATCAGTTCCATTAAAATGTGTACTATTCAATCATTATTGAAATGTATTACATTTCAATATTAAATGAATAACCTAATTATTAATTAATTATGAATTATAATGGTAATAAATGTAAATAAAATAAACTAATGGTATATAAATTTTCTAGGGACACATTGCCTGACATCCGAGCTATCACTATGGCCGAGATAGGCATTTGGATGGAAAAGTTCCCAGCCCACTTCCTGGACGATCTGTATCTCAAATACATCGGCTGGACGCTGCATGACAAGGTGCGATTGTGAAACTGTGTTTACAAAATAACTAAGTATGTAGACAGAGTTGTAACAGAGCGTGTGCAGGTGGGCGAGGTGCGGCTGCGCTGTCTGCAGGCGCTGCAGCC